ATCGCCCGGGGATGGCGGCAAGACCGTGCTGGGGGCGGTTTAATGAGGTCGGCGAGGTGGTCGCGGGAGCGCCGTGGGCCGCGGGTGGTTAGGCCGGCGGTCGCTCGGCGGTTTGAAGGAAGAAGAGGGTGGCTAGAGGTTGAAGGCGCACATCCGGCCGTCGGTTTTCTTCAAACCAGTAAATGACCCAAATTTTAAATTCAGTTGACCCCTATTTTTTGGAGAAAATTCCCATCAGATAAAATCTCTTTAGTGGTATTGCTCCGCCGTCGGATTGTTCCCGCCAACTAAATTGCAAGTTTTTCGGTTGGGTATCTCTCCAAGATTGTTCCGCCGTCGGATCCTCTGCTTCTGCCAAGATCATCAGTCAAAGTCATGTCACGGCCGACTGCTGGGTTGATTCGGGATAGGCTTTGGACCGACTAGCTACAAAACGCTGCTACCGTTGAACACCAGTACGGTACGGACCCGGCGTCCAGGTGACTGGATAATACGGGACACGTTCGCATCTCCGATCCAGCCGAGAAGTCAAGTCCGAATCGAAAATACTGCACCTACGGCGCCCAATCTGAATCCGAAAAACAATCTGCAGCTCTGCGTCTATATCTATATATATTTCAACAGAAGCAGGCCTCCAGAGAAAGTCGAGCAGCACCGGAAGCGAACCTCCTCTCCTCGAGTTCTGAACTCCCGGAGATCAGAGACGCCGCCGCAGGAGCAGCACCAAGTCGTCCCGTCTGCCGGCATGGACGACGCCACCGACGCCGCCGCCGTCCGGTCGGTCTGGGCCGACAACTTCGAGGCCGAGTCCGCCGTCTTCCGCCAGATCGCGCCGCACGCCACGCACGTGGCGCTGAACGTGCAGTACCCGGGCTGCGTGGTCCGCGGCGACGCCCGGAAGAGCCACTACGACATGACCGCCGAGGAGCGGTACCAGGTGATCCATGCGAACGTGTCGCTCCTCAAGCCGCTCCATGTGGGGCTCGCCATCCGCACCGGCGACGGCGGGCGGTTCGCGTGGGAGTTCAACCTGCGCGGGTTTGACGTCGCCTCGGACCTCGACGCGAGGGACCCCGACTCCATCGCCTACCTCGCGCGCCGCGGGGTCGACCTCGGCCGGCTTCCGACGTCCGGCGTCCACGGGCACGAGCTCCGCTGGATGCTGCGGGACTCCGGCCTGCTCGGGGCCCGGGCGTCGTGGGCGACTTTCGCCGGCGCCTACCACGTCGGCTACTTCGCGGCCATGATGTCTGGCGAGGAGCTTCCCGGCGACGTGAACGCCTTTATGGAGGTGGTGCGGCAGCTCCTCGGGCCGTCCGTGTACGACGTGAAGCTGCTGGCCAGGCAGCACGACCGGCGGTGCGTCGGCGCGCTGAGCCACGTCGTGAAGCAGCTCGGCGTGGAGCAGCCTGATGAGCCGAACTCGACGCCCGCCGGCACAGGTAGCACGCTGGCGCTCCTGGCTTTCGAGACGTTGAAGGAGAAGCTTGGCGCCAACATGGAGAAGCACCGCGGCCAATTGTGTGGGCTGCAGGCTGTCTAATAACGATATAACACAAGACCAACCGATGTGCGTGTTGCAATAATAGCCCAAAGCCGATGATTATTAAGTGTACGTAGTACTTTTTAGTAGTGGCTAAAAGCATTCATCTTATTCATAGGAGCGCAAGTGCATTGATCTTAACTCTTAAGTATGTACCTCGACTGGATATGATGTATACGTGGCTTTCTTGTACTGTTGCACTTATTTGAAATACAGAAAATCCTATTGACGTTTTGTATGAATTAAATACACTTTTGTTATATGTAAGTTGACTGAAATTCATATTTGGGCCAATCACTTTTTCCTTCTACAGTACTTAGTCTGTTTTTCCCTTTTTTTTATGTGTCAGCTTTTGTGTGCGTGCATGTGTGTATCGCATGCATGTGCTCCTGTTGCTTGCCACTTCGTGTATGTTGTGCGTGTGTCGCCGGCATGCTTGCTGTGTGCATGTGCATGTGTTGTGCTCATATCCAATTTTTGCTATGTGTGTGTGCACGAGTGTGCATACGACGACACCATCGATATGAAATGCATTTTTATTTCTACGTGTGAAGATACAACTAATCTTTAATTTAAAAATAAATCAAACATAGTATATGCATTTCACTTTGATGCAACTTATGTGCAAATCATATTTTTATCCGAAAACTGCTCTACGATATACTTATTTTTCTTATTGTGCAACAGTGCAATTCTTGGGTGCAATTTTTAAATAACATTTGTTTCAATTGTTTTTCACTTTCTTTCCCTTTTTAGGCTAAAATCATGCCCTAATTTATTCTACCTTAGAAAAATATATACTTTTTTTTGTCATTTTAGCTTCGTACTAGTTTTCATCTTTATTATCGTTTACCAAGTTGTTTTTACTCAACTTTTCTTTTTGTTTATGTGTATTGTGCATATATTAGGTGTGTGTAAATGTACACATAAGTGTTGTACCATATGTGTGTAAATTTTTCTAAAGTGCAAAAATTGCCCTATTATATGCTTTTCCATTTATAAAAATATGCAGTTTCAGTACAAATTGTGTGCAAGTTTTGTCATCATTTGTTTGCGGTTTTTTATTTCATTTTCTTTCATACTAAGACCACTAATTAATTCTTCTTTTCTTTTTGAAAATTTAACTATGTGCTTATTCTTGCATAATATAAGAACTTGCAATTTGTGTGTCCTTATTTATTTCTTTTTTTCATTTTCTTTCTTCTGGAAGGGTAAAACCAATGCAATCAATTCATTCTTTCTTAGAAAGCTTCATTATTTTTATTTTGTTTTAGTTTTAATTTCATTTTCTTTCTTCTTTAAGGTTAATACCAATGTTACTAATTCATTCCCTATCAGCAAACTTTTTTTTGCAAAAATCACAATATTATATGATTATTTTTACATATTATAAAATCACAAATTTTGTGTATATTATGTGCAAATTTTTCATTATTTGTTTTTTATTTTCTTTCTTCTGGAAGGGAAATATCAATGCCCTAATTCATTATTTCATACCAACACCACCCATTAATTTCTTATTAGATTTATTTTTGAAATTCCACTATATGCTTATTCTCGCATAATATAAGAAACTGCAATTTATGTGTAAGTTAAGTGCAAGTTTTGTCCTTATTTGTTTCTTTTTTTTCATTTTCTTCCCTCTGAAAGGGTAATACCAATGCCACCCATTCATTCTTTCTTAGAAAGCTTCATTATTTTGACTTTATTTTAGTTTTGATTTTGTTTTCTTTCTTCTTTAAGGCTAATACCAATGCCATTAATTCATTTTTTTTGTTAGAAAGCTTCCTTATCTTGACTTTTTTAGTTTTTATTTTGCTTTCTTTCTTCTTTAAGGCTAATACCAATGTCATTAAATCATTCCTTGTGAGAAAACCTTTTTTTTGCAAAAATCAAAATATTATACGCTTATACTTATACTCCCTGCGTTCCTAAATACTCCCTGATGAAGCTATGTACCTAGGGTAGGGGCACGGACCCGTCCAAAGAGCCCTACCCAAGGACATCCCTAGAAGAAGCCACCTTTCAATCGACTTGAAGGTATCCCACTCGACGGGTTCAAGACACTCGACCAAGAAACTATCACTCGACCAAGAAACAACCACTCGACTGCCAGGAGACATAAAGTCACTCCGCAGGCAAACGGTCAGCTGTTAAGTAGTCTTTATGGTCATTATAGCACTTTATTAGGGGCGTTACCAGTAACGCCCAATCTTAAATGTACCTTAAACCCTGCATTACTAAGGGCAGGAAGGGGCCGGCGAACTCTATATAAGCCACCCCCGTCCTCAGTATGAAGGGTTCGCACCCCTGTTATCCACACACGCATAATTCAATCGACCGCCTCCGGGCACCGAGACGTAGGGCTGTTACTTCCTCCGAGAAGGGCCTGAACTCGTAATCCTCGTGTGCTTACAACTTCTCCATAGCTAAGATCTAGCCTCTCCATACTTACCCCCCTACATCACTGTCAGAGTTAGAACCACGACAGTTGGCGCCCACCATGGGGTAGGAATCTTGGCGCTTAGTTGGAGAAGTTGCGATCTTTTCTGATCCCTTTGATCATGGTTTCTTGCGGAGTTTTGGTGGAGGGCCGCGAGATCCGTCTTGGCGCGCTCACCTTCATCGCCGACGACTCCGCCTGGCTTAGGAGGCACCACTCGACATCGACGCGCTCCTCGTCCGCGGTGCGACGCACTTCCGCGCTTGCATTCGTGGCGTCCTCCTGCGGCAGCCGTCGACCCAGTATCGGTCGGCCCCTGCGTCGTCTCCCCGCCCTGTCTCCCACCAGCGCAAGCGCTCCGGTCGGTCGAGACTTCAGCGGTGGGTGAGGCATGCTGTGGCTCGCCAGTCGGCAGCCCCACAAGTCGCGGCAATCGAGCCCGACGAATCCCTCTACGGCCTGTTCGACCTGTCGACTGGCTCCGCGGAGACCGCATCCGAGTGCGACAGCAGCGACCCAGCGGCTGAGGTTCTGGCGGTCGATGGAACACACAGTCCCCCCAGTTTCCTCGCGCTGACGAAGGCGCGGGTGGGGGCGACCCGTCGCGTCCCCACGATGAGTATCTCCCCGAACCTCTCACGTCATTACAGAGAGAGGAGCTTCGCCGCCGGAACATGGACGCACTCCACACTCCTATTGTCAGAGAAACCCCCGAGGCCCGGGCCTTGGAGGACGCGCGCCTGGCTAACCTGGCTGAGCGCACTCGACTGGAGAATCTCCAGCGAATACTCGACGAGCAAGCGCGTCAGCGAGCTCCTGAGTCCAGTCGACGTCAGCAAGCTCCTGAGTCCAGTCGGCGTCAGCTCTTCTCGCCACCGCAGGTGTATCGAACCCTAGTTCAGAATTTGGCCACCGCAGCCCGTATAGCAGAATCAATTCAGCCCTCCCAATCAGAGGCTGGCAGGGGCTTGTTGTAGATCAGAGCGTTACTCCGGGCGGCGGGAAACCAGAATTCCGCCATTTCTCAGTCGCGGGATAGGATCCACAGTCGATCCGTTGCGACAGATACATTCCAGTCGGCTCACAGGCCGAGATCGCCCCCGAGGCGTGAGGGACATGGTGACCGACATGATCAGTACAGGAGGAATGAGCAGCATGATCACCGATTCGATCATGATGACCGACGTCGAGTGCCAACCCCTCCCCCGAGGAGTGGGTCATATGCGCCTCGACGGCGAGATGACAGATGCCCTCATAGTGTTGGGTAGAGGATTCCAGTCGACCCTAGGGACCCAGTCTTTGATGCGAGATCCATCCTCGTTCAAGGCTTGGTTGACAGGAACAGAGCTCATCGAGAAGGCCACAACAGAGATGCGCCTGCCAGCAACAGAGTACACGCTTCAGGGCCAGAATGTTTCAGTCGAGCCATGAGAGCTGCAGAGATTCCTCCCAACTTCAGGCTGGCGACTGGAGTCAGCAAGTTCACCGGTGAATCTAAGCCTGACACTTGGCTCGAAGATTATCGACTGGCTGTACAGATTGGCGGTGGCAATGATGAGGTGGCCATGAAGCACTTGCCTCTCATGTTAGAGGGCTCAGCCAGAGCGTGGTTAAATCAGTTGGCACCCGGCAGCATCTACACTTGGGAGGACCTCTCCCGAGTATTTGTCACAACCTTCGAGGAAACATGCAAGCGACCTGCAGGCCTTACAGAATTGCGGTCTTGCGTGCAGAAGCCGAATGAAACTCTGAGGGATTACATCCAGAGGTGGATCACACTACATCACATGGTTGAGAATGTACCAGACCATCAAGCAGTTTGTGCCTTCAAAGAAGGCGTTAAATACAGAGAATTGAATCTGAAGTTCGGTCGAACCGGAGAGATGTCTCTGAATCGGATGATGGAGATTGCCACCAAATATGCTAATGGTGAAGACGAAGATCGACTCCGGAGTGGCAAGTACAAGGCAGTCGTCCAAGAAACCGGAGGGAACTCCAGTCGGAAGCAAAAGCGGAAGGTCGAACCAGCCGCCCCTGGAGAGGCCCTGGCCGTGGCCCAGGGAAACTTCAAGGGAAAACCCAAGGGCACCTGGAAGCCCAAGAAAGTTAAAGATCAGGATGGAAATGATGTGTTGGATCTGCCATGTCACATTCACACCAAGAAAGATGAAGAGGTCCAAGGACAAGGAAAGAGTCGGACAAAGTTGAGGACAAGGAAGACAGTGACGATGGATACCCCCAAGTCAATTCCACCCTGATGATTTTTGCCGATGTCGAAAGCAAAAGTCGACTGAAAGTCATTAACCGCGAGGTGAACATGGTTGCCCCGACAACACCCAGTTACCTGAAGTGGTCTCAGACTGCCATCACATTCGACCAGTCTGATCACCGACGCACATTCCCACCCCTGGGAGGCAATCTTTGGTGGTCGACCCAATTGTGGAAGGCACTCGACTGACCAAAGTCCTGATGGATGGTGGAAGTGGCCTGAACATACTGTATGCTGAGACATTGAAAGGAATGGGCATTCTGATGTCCAGGCTCAGTACCAGTAACA